TCTACACTCTAGGACAGGGTGCCAGGGCCGCCGAGAGCCCTTGCTGTGCCCTGAGTGTGGGGCTAGCTTTAAGCAGCAACGTGGCCTCAGCACCCACCTCCTGAAGAAGTGCCCTGTTCTGCTCAGAAAGAACAAGGGCTTTCCCAGACCAGATTCTCTCATCCCTGTGCATCCTCAGCCCCATGGCACTCGGTCCTCAGAGGATGCAGAAGGCAGGAAGCCCCCACCTCCACCATTAGAAGAAGAGCTACTGCTTCCAAAAGATGCTCTTCCCAAGCTTCCTAGGGAGCCAGAAAAAGGAATGGAGCCTCTCACCACACACTCTGCCTTTCCTGTTCCTTCTATAGGAAACTCCTCACCCACAGAAACTCCTGAGAAGTTCCACTTCGAGCAGGGCAAGTTTCACTGCAACTCATGTACATTCCTTTGTTCCCGGCTCTCCTCCATTACCTCTCATGTGGCGGAAGGCTGCCGGGGAGGGCGTGGCCGGGGAGGAAAGCGAGGGACCTACCTGAGCAATGGGACCTCTACTCCCCTGAGTAATGGGAGTGGGAATACTGAGCCCAGCCCTGGTGATGGGGTCACAGCTTCAGCAGCTCAGAAGCAAAAGGTGGCTCTCTTTTCCTGCTCCACATGTCCCTTCAGCTGCCAGCAGGAACGGGCCCTGAGGATTCACCAGACCCAGGGCTGCCCCCTTGGGCAGTCTGGAGAGCTGCACTGTGGCATCTGCCCATTCACTGCCCCCACAGCTGCTGCCCTGAGGCTCCATCAGAAGCGGAAGCACCCTGCTGCAGCCCCAGCCCGCAGCCCCCGGCCCCCTCTGCAGTGTGAGGACTGTGGCTTTACCTGTAAACAGATCCGATGCCTGCAGCAGCACCGGCGGCTCAAGCATGAGGGAGTGAAGCCACATCAGTGCCCTTTCTGTGACTTTTCCACCACCAGGCGGTATCGGTTAGAGGCCCACCAGTCCCGACACACAGGTGTTGGCCGCATCCCGTGCAGCTCCTGCTCTCAGACATTTGGTACCAACTCGAAACTGCGTTTGCACCGGCTAAGAGTACATGACAAGACACCCACCCACTTTTGTCCGCTCTGTGACTACAGTGGTTATCTTCGCCATGACATCACTCGCCACGTCAACAGCTGCCATCAAGGCACCCCAGCCTTTGCGTGCTCCCAGTGTGAGGCCCAGTTCAGCTCAGAGACAGCACTGAAGCAGCATGCTCTGCGCAAACACCCTGAGCCCACACACCCTTCCCCTGACTCCCCTGCGGAGGCTGCTGAAGGCCCCCTGCAGTGCTCTCACTGTGGGCTGCTCTGTCACAGCCCTGCCAGCTTGCGAGGACATACCCGTAAACAGCACCCACGGCTGGAGTGTGGGGCATGCCAGGAGGCCTTCCCTAGCCGGCCTGCACTGGATGAGCACCGGAGGCAGCAGCATTTCAGCCACCGCTGCCAGCTGTGTGACTTTGCTGCCCGGGAGCGGGTGGGCCTGGTTAAGCACTACCTGGAACAGCATGAGGAGACTTCAGCAGCGACAGCAGCTTCCAATGGGGATGGAGACACCAGCCAGCCCCCTCTGCGCTGTCCCTTTTGTGACTTTGCATGTCACCATCAGCTGGTGCTAGATCACCATGTGAAAGGGCATGGGGGCACCCGACTCTACAAGTGTACTGATTGTGCTTACAGCACCAAGAACCGGCAGAAAATCACCTGGCATAGCCGCATCCACACAGGAGAAAAGCCTTACCGCTGTCATCTCTGCCCCTATGCCTGTGCTGACCCCTCTCGCCTCAAGGTGAGGTGAGGGGCCCTGGGGCAGGGAATGGAGAAAGTGTAGGCTGTGGATCATCTAACCCTGAGGCTTAGAAATATTAGTTCTGTGACTTTGGATGAGTTCTTTCTCTAAGGCTCATATCCCTCACCTGTAAGAAGGGGATAAAACTTACCACCTTCAGAGAATTGTAAAGATAAAATTACATAATACATGCTTACCATTGATAAAGGCATATGATAATTTTGGGATAATCTGGATAATAACAGGTAACATTTATTGGCACTTACTGTATACCCGGAACTGTAATTTTAATTCCTTCAAAGATGAGAGATAGGGATACTTTTACTACTCTACATTTTATAGATTACTGAGAATTCAGGGTTAGCGCACCCAGGGACACAACTAATAAGCAGTAGAACTGAGCTGGTCAGGGCAGACCTAGGAAGAGGCTGAATGGGTTAGGTAAAGTGGCCATCCTGGAGGACTCAGTTAATAATTTAAGTGAAGATAGGATAGGAGCAGGAAAGAGGATTATCTGCCAACAGTTTCTCTACCTATTCACCCCTGCTTCCCCATCCAGTGAGTACCATGGGATAAACATACTATGCTGTGCTTTTTGTTTTTCTCTTGTTAGTATCACATGCGAATCCATAAGGAGGAACGGAAGTACCTGTGCCCTGAGTGTGGTTACAAGTGCAAATGGATCAACCAGCTCAAGTACCACATGACCAAGCACACAGGTGAGTCTGGGTGGTTTTGACAGGCCTAAAGTATTCCTCTGTTCTCTGGTAAGCCTGACCACACATCATTGAAGTGATGTGTGCCCTTGCTCAGATTCAGAGCAACATCAGTTTTCACACTGAAATCAGAGAGTGGGCTGAGAAAGCATACATCATATGCCTCCCCAACTCACTAAATAGCTATCAGAAACAGGAGGGCTAGCCCCAAGGGCACATGTACATTGCAAAGGCTTCCCAGGTGATCGTTGTACAGGGTGTTCCCCTCATTGAGACCCTCAATTCAAACTTCAGTGAGATCAGGTCTGCCTGGTTCCTATACTCTTATTATAAGTATGGAGGGGAAAGTGGAAAGTTCTCCTATTCTAATTTGCCCTTATCCTCTCCTGGGTATGGAATCTGCAAATTAGAGGTTCTCTGAAAAGGGTTAATGATTATGTGCCTGTGATTATTGCATACGCTCGCCCACATGTAGAACTAATCAGGTGCATTTCAAGACTCTGCTTCTATGAATGCTGCTGCTTTTATCTTTGCTGCTTCTCTTTTAAGCATTCTTTTACTTTTTAATTTGAACAGGGGTTGTGTTTAAATGAATTCCTAAATTTTATGAATATCCTGTGATCAAAAGAGAGTTAGAATTTCCCTTTTGATAGCCCTATCATATTTGAGCACTCATTCCTATCAAGTGACTAGTTGGTTAAAGATCACATAGTCATTAGGACCCACTGGGCACCTATGTAAATAAAGGCTGTGTTGAGAGGACACAGAAATACCACACAAGACTAGAACATTCTAAAGATCTGGTCATTATATAGCTTGCTGTTTGTGTTCTTTATATTCTACTATCACAGTGCCTTCATGGCCCGCCACACTGTATTCCACCCCACTTCAGTGATAATTTATTCCCTGTCCTATAGGACTGAAGCCGTACCAGTGTCCTGAGTGTGAGTACTGTACCAACCGGGCTGATGCACTGCGTGTGCACCGGGAGACACGACATCGAGAAGCACGGGCTTTCATGTGTGAGCAGTGTGGCAAGGCCTTCAAGACACGCTTCCTGCTGCGCACCCACCTTCGCAAGCACAGCGAAGTCAAACCTTACGTGTGCAATGTGTGCCGCCGTGCTTTTCGCTGGGCTGCCGGTCTGCGCCATCATGCCCTCACCCACACTGACCGCCACCCCTTCTTCTGCCGCCTCTGCAGCTACAAGGCCAAGCAGAAGTTCCAGGTGGTCAAGCATGTGCGTAGGCACCACCCTGACCAGACCGACCCACACCAGGGTGTAGGCAAAGACCCCACTACCCCCACCGTGCATCTGCATGATGTGAAGCTGGAGGACCCCAGCCCCCCTGCTCCTGCCACTCCCTCTACTGGACCTGAGGGCTGAGCCTAGCCCACCTCCCAGACAGGAGCTGGTTATGGCCAAAGATGAGGATCCGAGCTAGCTTGAGGTGCTCAGGGCCTAAGGAAGGACTGGCTTTGAGGTGTCAGTGTGACTATAACCCGCATGGGACTCTAGTCATAGTATTTTGAAATTAATGGCTATATAAAAGAGACATAAGCCAAAACATTGATTTCTTCTTGAAATGCACTATATTTTTAACCTGTGAATTTTCAGTTTCTTCACCATCACTCTACCAGAGTCCTTGTATATAATGTCCTGATTTTATCTACTCCATCTTCTATTTCCTTCTAACTGTATCAAGTCGTTTCCTTTCAGCATCTTTAAATAAGTTGTATCTAACTGCATGTGCTATTGTGCCTAATGCTGTATAAAGCATGTTAAACAGAACAACTACCAGTTTATTGACTCATCCAGTTCCCTGTCTTAACTTTTCCAGGCTGTCTTCTTGATCTGGCCCTGTCCTTTCTTAGACCTCTGCACCTCCCTTGTCTCTTCCATCTTAACTTGGAGACAGGTTTGAAGGAGACTCCAGTCTGCCTTTTCTCTGACTCTGAGGCTGTCCTGGCCCTTGCCTTTCTCCCTACTCCCAAGCTCCTTTACCTGTACAAGGAGGATTGCCACCCACTAAGCCTCTTCCTAGAAGTAACTTTAGTTCAACATCAGTCCTCAGACTGGCTCAGCAGCTGCACTAAGGAATGAAAGCACAATGATACTGAGAAAGGCAGGTGACTGGGGAGGTAAATCTTTAATTCTGAGTTTTCACAATACTAACTGCCTCACTATGTAATTGATCCTCAGACATACAAGGGACGCTAAAGAATAATTGTGCTACTAATAATTATGTTTACACAGCCATAAACCAAGACTATTCCAGGGAAACTCTCCAAGAGGGCCAGGAGCACATAAACCTTTGTCTCCTTTTGTCCTGCCCCTTAGAGGCTTCTTCTGTGTCCTTGCTATGCAGCACATACAGAAAGCCCCTGGAAACCTCACTTCTCTACCTTTTCCCCATCCCACCTAAGTACCCAAATGTACCCTTGTACCTCCCCTTCTTCCCCGACAATGACAGACCATACAGGAGTCAAATTGGAGAGAGAAGCTCTATTTACACCAGGGGGATAAGGAGGAGCAGTCCAGTGGGGACTCAGGCTGTGTAGTATTCTCTGAAGAGTCAGTACAGTCTTGGGTCAAGTCTCCTTGCCCAACCTTTACCTGGGGAGCTTTGATCCTTGATTTATCCTTCCCTTGGCTCTGGGCTTTGAGGAAGTTAGGAGTGGAAAGAATAATACTTATGTGGGTTTCTGTGCTCCAACCCCCTCTCTAGGTTTCCAGCTGCAATCTGCCTTCACACCAGAGTTGATGGAAGAGATTAATCGTGGGTCTGAGTATGGGATTGAGCATATAGCAATGGGAAGGAGGAGCTCCAGCATAGTGTGCACAAAGATGAAGGGCAGGAAAGATACCAAAAGGCTTCTAAAAACAAAAAACGAGAAGAGAGAAAAGGTGAAAGTCCTAGATTTGCTTGTTAGGAAGGGAAAGGTAATTTCATGCCTGGTAATGCACAATCTTAAGTTTTTTACCACCTCCATTTGCTCTCTTGGGAGCAATTCTTCCAGGTTTTTCTCACTATCTAAAGCCAGAACCCACCCTCACAAAGTACCCACCTCAGGATTCAGTCTCCAAGTCTTCCTGGATAGAGATGTACACAAAGATGGATGCTGGATGGAGGCTGATGCCATCCCTGGAGAGCAGGTGTATGTGGCGGTAACCTGGAAAGAGGCAAAAGGACAGTCTTACATAGCCAGAGCTGGCATGTTGGCCAGGGGTCCAAGAACCATCTCACCTTGCTGCATGCAGGTCCATGGCAGAGTGAACTGGCCAATGAATTCATTGCGAGATTTCCAGTCATAATCCTTTACCACAAAACGCAGCATAGTGAGTTCAGGCACCAGGACCCGGAAGGACAGAGTCTGTCCCCAGTATGGATTGAACCCTAAGATGGGAGTAAGAAGGAACAAAGGAACAGTCACTGACTGTCTTCTGCAACTGCCCACACTGAGTTGTTTTTACTGTGTTCTCACTTAATCTGGATGGTAATCAGTATTTCACAGGTGAGGAAAGAGGCTCAAAATGTGTAAACAGCTTTCCCAAGTCAGGGGCTAGGATTCTTTGTAATGTGCCACACCGCCTCCCTTGAGAGTGGAGGGATGAGCAGTGATGTGAACAATACTAAATCGAGGTCAGGACAGAAGGGAGTCATGCTCCTACCACCTCCTTCCCTAGCACTACGCAGTCTCTCACCGTTGTTCTCCACATAGTTGGTCTCTTGCCGGGCTGTGTCTGCATGGATGCCAAAGATCTCTACTTTCACCAGTGGGTCCACAATGCACTTCTCCTTGGTGTTCACCTTGGGGAGCTGCTGACCACTGATCACCTGCAACCAGGTCACTGGAACCTTATGAGTTCCTGCTCAGCCCAGCCCCCACTCAGCTTTCACCCCAGGAGAGAAGACACAGGACCTTGCACACTCACTTTCTGGTTTGCAAAACTAATCATCCATGAATCATATTTGAACATTCAATCTGCAGTTTTAAATGTAACAGGTAGAAATTAATGAGGTTTGAAAGTAGGCATACAAATGACAGCATAGCCTCTTACTATGTGCCAGGAGTTGCAGGCACTTGATCTAGTTGCTTCAATCTTCACAACGCTGGAAGGTAGGCAGTAGTATTACCCCCATTTTGCAGGTGAATACACAGGTACAGAGAAGCTAAGGAACTTGTCCAGTGTTACACAACTGGGTAGATGTGAAGCTTGGCAACTGGCTCTGAAGTCTGATAGTGCTGCTAACAACTAGCCTATCCTGCCTCTCAGGAATTTTCAGCCAGTCACACTCTTGCTGGGCCTAGCTGCCTCTTCCCCCACTTTGATTCCAGCCACCTCAGGTCCTTCCCATCAGTTTCTCTTCCCATCATACCTGGACTAACAGGATCTGAGCCTTATAAGGACTGATAGGCCTTTCAGGATTGAAGGAAGTCTGGGCGTCACGCAGAAAATCTGGCTTCAGCACGTAGCCACAGACACCATTCTGGCGGAAGAGCCCATCACAAATGTCCATTTCAAGCCCTGCAGTCTGCATATTCATAGCCACTGGGGATCCCAGGAGAAAAAGGCAAAATTCACATTGGGGGCCTTCCACCCCGTCTCCATAGATAGAATCTCTGTCACCCTAGTACTCGTTAAAGCATTCCCTGGTCCTGCTTCTACTAAGGAACTTCTCTTCCACCAGTAATGTCCACCCCAGCCCCTCCCTGTTCCTGTAGCCTGCGCACCCATCTGGCAGCCTGCATTCCAGAGCTCCTGAGGATTGTAGTTGGATGAGTCTGTCCTCAGACCGCTGGGATACACTCGGCTCAACTGCCAGGTATTGTGCTGCACAAACTCATTGCCTGTAAAAGGTGTAGGGATGGAGATGGAAGTGGGGCAGATCCTCCCACTTCCTCTGCCCCGAAGGAGCCTGCCCACTCATTCACTCCTCCCTGACAGCTGAGGCTGGTTCCAGAAAGCTTCACTGTGCTACTCTGCTCCAGCCAGCCCATCTCCCCCAGCTTTCCTCCACCTACTGCCTACTGTCCATTATTCCCCACTCCTCTCTCTCTGCCTCCTCTGAGGAGTTTCTTAGCTTCTTCATTCCTCCCTAGCTCTCTTGTCTTCTTTCTTGGAACTTACCTTCCTGCCCATCAGGTATGAGCCTATCCAACCCACTTCCCTCCCTCTCCGTCCATTTTGGTCCTGACCAGCCTCCTTGACAAGGTTCCTGGCCTTGCTTTCAGAGAAGGATGATGTCTCATAGAAGTGATAGTTCTCCCTTGAGTGAGAGAAGGTGTGGAATGGGACAGACTTCAAGTAGACAACCAGGGCAGAGAGGGCTGGACACAAGATGGGCTTGAGTTTCTGGAGGAGAAAGTAAAGAAGATAGAACTGAGTCTTCAGCAGTCTTTGAGGGAAGAAGCCAGCAGCCATCCAACCTGAGCCTCTGCCCACTGCCTCCCCATTGCATTCTCCCTCCTGCCTCACCTTCAAAGGCAAGAGAAGCAACCCAGGATCGGGAATAGGATCCTGGGTCATAATCTGACAACAGATAGGCGGACAAAACAGCGGGCACTTCACAACCTGGGGATGGGAATGGGAATAAAGGCATTCTTTTTTCTTTCTTTTTTCTTTTTTTGGGGTGTGTGTGCTTTTTTGAGATAGTATTTCACTATGCAGTTCAAGCTGGCCTTGAACTCACCTTGTAGCCTAGGCTGACTTCAAACTCACAGTGATCCTCCTGCCTCTGCCTCCCGAATGCTGGGATTACAGGTGTGTGCCACCACACCCAGCAAGGCATTCTGCATATCATGCTGGGATTGGTTTCAGCTTCTGAGCCTGGAGGGTCTGCTCTATGTTACATCTTGGGTAACAGGTATTTACATTAGTTTTAAACAGAAATATCATCCTCCCTACTTCTTTTTCTTTTCTTCTCTTTTTGTGGGTGGGGGTTGATACTTTGTTTTGGTTTGGTTTTTTTGAGACAGGGTCTTGCTATGTAGTTCAGGCTACATAGCAAGAACTATGTAGACCAGGCTTGAACTATGTAGACCAGAATGGCCTTAAGCTCCCAGCAATCCTCCTATCTCAGTCTCCTGAGTGCTGGGATTATAGGCTTACTTCTCTTTTAGAATAAATGAAGAATAACCTTTGTCAAAATGTTCATGAATCCAGACAGATACATCAAAGTATACAAATGGTCACAGAATTCACACTTGGAAAGCTATGAGAATCCCAGGGTAATATATTTGGATTTGTCTTCTGAATTCCCATTTCCAACCCTGGACATAGCAGCAGGTTAAACACCAGAGAGAATGATATATGCTAGAAGTCAGCTGAGTGAGCCAAGCAACTGCACAGGAGAGACAATGCAGACTTCAAACCTGGATTGTAGAGGTCTAAACAATGGCACCCCTTCTCCCTCAGCCTTCCCCCCATAGGGAGATAGACCATGCTGGCACAGCCTTCTCAGAGGCTCAGTTTCCCCACTTCAAACTTCTCTCCTTTTCATGTCTGGCTATTTGTGGCCCTTCCTCAAACTCAGATTTCACCGTTTCCAAGAAAGCCCACTATGGTTGAGGTCACAGCAGTTATTTTAGTAACCCCTATTTAGGCAATGTGACAGTGCTACACATACACTCAGTGGTTTTCAAACTAGCCTTTAAAGAGACTTCTACATGTACAAAGATGTGTCCAGTCACCTAGGGGATCCAGCAGAGCCAAATGAGTGCTCCAATTAGAATGGTTCTGCATTTACCTATTTTGTTTACTGAGCTTTCATACAAAATTGGGTTAGGAAGAAAGAAGGAAATCAAAAGAAACAAGGATTTCATGGCCCAAAGAAGTCAGAAAGCCACTGCGATATATCTATAAACAGCAATATATACAATGATGCCATACATGCATTCTTGTGCCTCTTTTTATTAGAAGGAAGGTTCATTTTTCTCCTTGGCCCTCTACTTTGCCTGGTTTTAGTCTCATCACAGACCAGCCTTCAGCTTTGCTACATGCTGACCAAATGCCATGGCAGGAAGATGGCTCCTGCCCTACCTTCTTTTTGTCCTTACTCCGAAGGAACGGCTCCTGCTCCTGCTCCTGCTCCTGCTCCTGTTCCTGTGGCTCAGGCTCAGGCTCCAGCTCTGACCCCTGCTGTAGCTCCAGGTCACACTCTGGCTCCTCCTCTTCATCCTCATCCTCAACATCCTCCTCAAGTGTTTCTAACTTCTTCCCTTTCAGCAGGATCTTCCCTCGAAGTTGCTAGGGGACAAAAATGAAGGGACCTGTCGGTCAGCTCTGAGGCTATCCCAGAGATCCTGCAGATCTCATCACTCCAAAGGCGAGGAAAAAAGTGAGTGGTCAGAAGTTCCCCAGGAAGAGATCGATTGCTTGGTACATAACCAAGCAATTGGAATTCCCTCATTGTTAAGCAAACTTACATTATCTATATGGAAAAAAATAAACAATAGGCCCCTACCTCACATTTGACATACTAAAAACTCCTTTAAGTATTTATATATGTACAGCTGGGCATGGTGGCACATGCCTGTAGTCCCAGCACTTGGGAGGCTGAGGCAGCAGGTTCACCACAAGTTCAAGGCCAGCCCGGGCTCTATAGTTAGTTCAAGGACAGCCTATACTACATAGCAAGACCCTATCTCTAAATAAATAATAAATAAATAAATAAATAAATAAATAAATAAATAAATAAGAAAATAGCCCTTAGAAAGGTGATATGAAAACTGAATCCCAAAAATAAAAAAAAGTTGAAGACTTGACTACATAAAGCTTAAAAATTTCTATAAGGTGAAAGATGCTAAAAACACAAAAGCAAAAGTAGACTGCAAAAAAAAATTTCCCAAGACAGGCATGTGATTCACACCTGTAATCCCAGCACTGTAGCAGACTGAGACAGGAGGATCGCAAATTCAAGCCCACTCTGGGCAATATAATAACTTAGCAAGACCCTGTCTCAAAATAAAAAAGGGCTGGAGATATAGCTGAGTGTGAAGACGCTGGATTCAATCCCCAGTACCTTTCCCTCAAAAAAGCATTAGTATCTTTAACATTTAACATCAGTTGAGCACAGTGGTACACACTTGTAATCCCAACATTCAGGAGGCTAAAGCAGAGGATCAGAAGCAAGTTCAAAGCCAGTTTGGGCTACATAACTAGTCTGAGGTTAGGTCTGGACCACATAGCAAGGTCCTGTCTTAAAAAAACAACAACAGGGGCTGGGGATTTAGCTCAGCGGCAAAGCGCCTGCCTAGCAAGCACAAGGTCGTGAGTTCAGTTCCTGGTACCGGAAAAAAACCAAAAAAAAAAAAAAAACAACAACAACAACAAAAAAAAATTGAATATCGGGGGCTGGGGATTTTGCTCAGCAGCACAGCGCCTGCCTGGCAAGCGCAAAGTCGTGAGTTTGATTCCCAGTACCGGAAAAAGACAAAAAAACAACAACAACAAAAAAAAATTGAATATCAATAAAAATGATAAACCCTAATGAAAGTAAATAATAATTCAAAAGAAGAAAACACAGGCTTTTCTAAAGACGTAACTTTTTTTCACTATTTGCCATTATGATTATGAATCATCTCATTCAGAGTTGTTTCTGGTCATTCTCTTCTGTCGGGTAAGAGTATAATTTGGTATTTTTCCCACAGGGCAAATTGGCAATGACAATAAAAAAATGTCAAGATGCAAACACTTTAACCCAGTAATTTTGCTTCTAGGAATCCATTTCAAAGAAAAACTAAATGGACAAAGTTGTATATACAAGTTGAAAATTACAAACAACCTAAATGTCTACCAAATGTTCAAACAGTTGAATAAAGTATGGCCCCTATAAATGAGCCTGGTGGTGCATGATTATGGTGGTGTATGTCTATAGTTCCAGCACTGTGGAGGCTGAAGCAAGAGGATCTCAGCGAGTTCAAGGCCAGCCTGAGCTATCTAATGAGTTCAAGCTAGCCTGACCTGCACAATGAGAACCTGACTCAAAAAAAAAAAAAAAAAGAAAAATACATAAAGCTATTAAAAGAAAAAAATTACACATGAAAAGACACCTATGATATATAAGATATTCATGGAGGATGATCTCATTCATAGTTTTTAAAAAATGTGAATATAAGGCCAGGTATAGTGGCACATGCTTATAGTCCCAGCACTCGGGAGGCTGAAGCAGGAGGACTGCCACAAGTTCTACACCTGCCTGAACTATTTAATGAGTTCAAGGTCAGCCTCAAGTACATAGTGAGACCCTGCCACAAAAAAACAAAACAAAAATGTGAATATAAGCATAGTGTGATGGTACAGGCCTATAATCCCAGAACTCAGGAGGCTGAGGCAGGAGGATCACCATGAGCTTGAGGCCACTCTGTCTCAAATAATATGTGAATATATACACACATGTATTTATATAAGCATTTTTAAAAACCTATTGAAGCCAGGTGTGGTGTGCATGCCTCTAATCCCAGCACCTGGGAGGCTGAGCCAGGAGGATTTCTGTGAATTTGAGATCAGCCTAAACTGCATAGTGAGAGCCTGTCTCAAAACAAACAAACAAAAAACAAACAAAAAAACCTAAAACAACCTATTGATAGGGATTGAGGGTGTAGCTGAGGGGTATAGCATATACTTAGCATGAGTGAGGTTCTGGGTTCTAACCCCAGCATCAAATAAATGTAGAGATAGATAGATAGATAAATTTTTATGGAAGAGGTTGGGATCATGCTGGGGGTGGGACTTCCCTGTCCCCTTATTGTTTGTATGGTTTACACCCACAACAGCTATAAGCTATCATGAAAAAAATTAAGGTAGTTCCATTGAAAGAAAAATATAAAGTATAACAGTTGATTGAAACTTTAGAGAACTATAAATAGAATTCTACCTTCAATTAGATCTTTCAAAATGAAAGTTGTCTCTAGGCATATTAAAGAGCAAGATGGCCCTTGTGAGGACAGAAGAAGGGAACAAGAGGAGCCTGGAGGAGGCAGCCATAGTCAGGGAGGGCAGAAGCCACTGCAGAGCCCAGGTCCCTACCTCCGGCGAGGGCAGCTGTGTGGGAAGCAGCCCATCCAAGGGGGTGCTCAGCAGCTGCTCCCCCAGGATCTCAGTCAGGTGCTGTGCCAGCGTCTGCTGCTGCTCCCAGCTGCAGTGGTTCTCCAGGGACAGGATGAGTGGGTAGTCTGAAGTCTGGTGAGGGAGAAGGGGGAGAATGCACCCACAGTTCTAAACCCCGTAACCTCCTTCTCCAAATGCTTGGCTCCCAGGGCCCCTTAGTTACTCAGTTGAGTACCCTGAGTGCTAAACCCCTCCAACTCTGCTACAGGGCTCAGTGAGGCTTTTGGGGCCTGGGGCCCATACCTTGGTACACTACTCACTACTCACATCTAAAGATCACTCTTGGGATCCCAAATTTCCTACCTGTGCCAATCTGACCCAGGTTCCTCTAAGACCTTTGAGTTTTCAGGCTCATAGTAGGAGGGCCAGGTCATTCCCCCAGTTATGTGTTTGCATTACACCCTCAAACATCAATCTCCAAGTTCCTATTGTCCCTCAGCCCTACTCCCCACTGTTCTGTGTCCTTATCCACTCTCTCCCAGACAGGGAACAGAATATGTTATAAGTAGTAGTTACTAACCCCTAGTAGTTACCTCTCTGACTACTGACTACTAGTAACACACCCAACACTTACTGCTGTAATCCCTTAATACTGTCCAATGCTTTAAACTGTTTATATATGTCATGCCATTTGCAGCATCTTTCCTGCACCCCTTTTACCCTCCAAGACATGAGCCAGTCATTTTCCCTTGGACACTCTCTTACTGGATGCTGTTCCCAACCTTGGACCACTACCTGGAAGGCATACTGTGCTACTGCGGCCACAACATCTTTGAATGGGATTCGAGAGGTCAGGGTGTGTCCATGGTAAACAACAGGTTCCCCGCTAGGTCCATCCCAAACATCCACCTCCACACAGCGGCACCCCCGCTTCAGGGCCCTGTAAGAACAGCAACAGACCAGAAGCAGGGGAGGTCAAGGTATGATCTTCCACCTAGGGACCCTCTCTACGCTCTGGAGGGAACAGTGCTCACCAGTGCTTGCCTATCCAAACCCCTGCAAGCTGATCTCCATGGAAATGTCTTTGTCTACTGAGATCTGGCTGCAGGTCACACTGATCTCCACTCCTACCCTACCCAACTTCCAATCCTCCTAAGCAACACATTGCCTCCTATACTTCTGGTGTTAAGTTTGCATATCCCTATACCAAGTTTGGGATATCAAATGTAGGGATACATTTGGCAAATGTACACCCACACAAGAGGGGGATTGAATCCAGGGCCTCACACATGCTAAGGATGCATTCTACCACTGGGCTACACTCCCAGCTCCTTATTTTCTCAACTAGACTTCCTAAAATGGAAACTTAAAAGTTTCACTTATTCTTTAATAAAAGCTCCACTCATTTTTCTATCCCTTAAAGCTACTAGTTCAGTTGCTAGCACTTACAAAGATCTCTTGACTATTTGATCTAATCTGTGGTTAATCACAATAAAAGCAGCTTCCACTGACACATGGATTAACTCGTTCAGTGTTCACAACAACCCTGAGAGGGAAGACACTATTATCATCCTCATTTCATAGACAGGTAACAAGGCACAAAGAGGTTAATTACTTAGCCCCAGAGCACCTATTGAGGGAGCCAGGATTTGACCCCAGATAGTCTGACTCCAGAACTCATGTTTCTAATCCTCTGTTCTGCGGCCTTCCCTTTAACATGCAATTTATTTATTCAAAATAAATCAGTGAAGGCCTGTGAGTCCAGGGAGTTTCCCAGGTTATGAAAGAGAAGTTCCATTTACCCACAGGGTTTCATTACTATTCTCCCACCGGTCTTCAGTATGTTCTCCAAGTATCTCATGTATCCATGCTCAGCCCCTAATCCCCTATACAATACTCATCAACCCATTATCCACTGACATCCTCCCCTCATTCCCCACATACAGTCCCTTTCATGAGCTGGACCTCTTTTCTACCCCATTGCACCGTATATATCCCTCGACGCTGCTCTGGCCACACAGCTGGTCCCCCACTAGGTAGGTGTTGTGAGAGGAGTTAATGAAGTAGTGACTCAGAGGCTGAGTCATATCCTGGTAGATGGGGAGGCAGGCCGGGTTGAAGATATCGCCATCCTTTGAGCAGAGGTAGCTGAGGAAGCCATCCAGGCTCAGCACATGCCGCAGTTTGCCTAGGGTGTGGAGTGGGGAGCACCAGAGTGAGAAGCTCTAAGTGTGGGGCACCCAGCGCACCCAAAGCCCACCTTCCACCCCATGCCCTCTGGGGCCCTACCTTTCAGATGGTTCCCATTCTTAGCCTCCAGATCCCAAATATTTCCCACCAGTGCCTGTTGTTTCTACCGTGCCCACCCTTGGAGACTGTTAAAGGGAATCAGTAGGATCACTCTTATCCAGAGCTGTCCAACAGGACTCTCTACAATGATGGAAATGTTCTATTGTGCAGTGTTTAATATGGCAGTCTCTAACTACTTGTGGCTATGAGTACTTGAAATGTGACTTGCATCCTGACAGACTACATTTTAAGTGCCACTTGATTCTAGTTGATTTAAATTCAAATTTAAATTTAATTAGTCACATGAAGCCGATTTACCATAAGGGACAGGGCAGTATCCAGTGCAAAGGGCTAAACTTATAGCTGGGAAACTGAAGCCTGGAGAGATTCAAAGTAAGAGAGACTCATTAGTGACATGGCCAAGATACCTATGTTTTCTTTCTTGGGCTGTACAGCTGTGTGACCTAGGGCCTGAGGCTCTTTTCCTACCATCAACACTCACATATGGTATTTTGGGGAGCATTTGTCAGCATCTCCTTAGACTACACTCTTGTTGAAGAAAGGGACTGTTACCTCTTCTTTTATGGTTTGGCTCTAAAATGGCCCCAGAAGTCGGATGTATTCAGCAGCAGGGATTTTGAGGTGATTGGGTCATAGGGGTACTGATGAATTCATTGCCAAATGTGCTATTAGGAGGTGGGGGTCTTTTGGAAAAAGAGATTCAGTGGGAGCATGGCCTAGAAATGTATATTCTTGTCCCTGGATCCTCCCTCCTCTCTCTCTCTGCTTCCTGGCTGCCATGGTTGAGTATCTTTCTCTACTATGCCCTTCCACCATGCCATTTGTGCCTTGCAGCCAGTCAACCATAGACCCAACCCATGTCAAACCATGAGCCAAATAAATCTCTCCTTTAAATTGTGGGTGTCGGATATTTTGTCCTAGTAACAGGAAAGTGACTAATACACTTTCCATAGCCCTCATGCTTCTCAAGGTTGGTTTCATAAAATAACAATGACTAACAGTAATTAGGCACCCGCTCTATGTCAAGGATACTATATGCCACATCTCACTTAATGGGCTCACTAATACAATGTACTATGAGACGTTAGATAATGTGATCCAGGTCACATAAATAGTAGGTGATTCTCAAATAAGAAGCTCACTGATTCTCCAGTGCAAGGACAGAGATCACTAAGAGATGTGGAGACTAAATCTTGTCTCAGACTGTTTTATAGACTGGGCACCTAATTTATTAAAAACAGATTTCTTACAGTTCTGGAAGCCCAAGGTCAAGGGGCATGCATCTGGTGAGGATCATGCTGTGTCATCCCATGGCAGAAGATGAAAGGGAGAGCAAGAGGGAGGAAGGGGACCAAATTTATCCTTTTATCAGGAACTCACTGCCTTGATAACTAAGTCACACCCATAACAGCAGAGCCCTCATGACTTAATCAACTCTTAGAGGTCCCACCTCTCAACCCTTTTGTGTTGGAGTTGGGTACGGGGGCACATTCCTGTAACCCCACCATTTGGGAGGCTGAGGCAGGAGGCCAGCCTGGGCTACACAGTGAATTGAAGGCCAGCCTGAACTACATAGTGAGCCCTTGTCTCAAAAAAAAATTGAACTGTCAACACTTTTGTGTTGGAGGTTAAATTCCCAACACATGCAGTCTGGACAATATATTCAAGACATAACAAATGTAATTGATGTATATTGGATCTTGCACTGGAAACAGCAACTCTTAACCCTCTGATATACTCCAATTTATCTTCTGACATTATTGCTTTAGAGCCCCAATTCTTCTTTTAACACCCTCATAAACCAAGGCATTGTGCATTCTAGCCAAGTGTTCTGCCTCTGAGCTACATCCACAGCCACTAACACTTTCTGTTTGACTCTAAATTCCACAAGGGCAGTGCCTTGTCTGACCCAGGTGCTATTGTATCTCTGGTGCTCAGGACAGATGACATTGTAGTTACTCAATAAACATTAGCTGAAGCAGTGAGTGGATGAATGGATGAATGGACGAATGGATGAATGAATGAATGAATGGATGGATGAAATGAAGTAGGAGTTGAGATTCAGGAAACCTGGGTCCTTTGCCCAGCTCTCAACCATCCCATGTTATCTTTATTTTCAAGAGAGTTATTACTTAAAAGATGACCTAGGCCAGGCGTGGTGGCGTACACCTGTAATCCCAGCACTCGGAAGGCTGTGGCAGAAGGATCTCTGTGAGTTTGAGGCCAGCCTGGGCTATAAAGTGAGTTCTAGGCCAGCCTGAACTGCATAGTGAGACCCTGTCTCAAAAAAAAAGAGATGACTTAGAGTTGAATTCCAATTCCTTCCTCATTAGTTGTTATGTTTGGACAAATCCTTTACTTTTTCTCAAGCTCAATTTTTCTATTTTATACAACTAAGAGAATCCTTTTTGGGGGGCATGGTTCATTTGAGATAGAATATCCCTGTGTAATTAGGCGGGTCTTGAACTTCCATAGTAGCCCAAGCTGGCCTCAAATTTGCTACAATCCTTTTGCCTCAGCTTCCCAAATGCTGGGATTAGAGATGTGTGCCATTACACCTGGCTAAGAGATCCTTTTTATTTTTTGGTACTGGGAATCAAACTCAGGACCTTGCACTTGCCAGGCAGGCACTGTGCTGCTCGCTGAGCTTTATGGCCCAAAGAGACCCATTTTAACAGGTCATTGGAAGGATTTGAAGAGAAAAAGCATATAGAGATATTAATGCATAATGATATACTTAAAAAGGGTCAATAAAGATTATTGCTGTTCATCTGAGTATTAAGTATTCTTTAATTAAGTATTCTTTAATTTAAGTAATTAATTAAGTAATTTAATTAAGTATTCCTTAATTTAAGTATTCTTACCTTAAATTTTAAAAAGCACAAGCTATTTGGTTCTATTAAATGTGTTTCCACAAGTTGTTGATATATAAAAGTTTAAGACTGCTTCCTTTATAAAGCAACTAAGAGTTTAAATTCTAATATATATTGGTGAGGAGGTAATATGCTATTTTTGACAACCCTTAGGCTGTAACTACTTATTAGATCCTTCTTACATATCTCTGTCTTCCTGAGAAACCACTTTGAAGATACCACCA